TTCAGGGGTCACTCCTGGTGGGGCTTAGGAGATCATCTGATATGCTAGGTTGGCCATGTGTGAGGCAAATGCTTACCTGTTCTGCTATCTCTCCAGTCCCTGTTTCCAGTCTTTTCTGAGACAGCTTTTTACACTGGCAGTGCTCAGAAATATTGATGTTTTGATTTGCATTTCCCTGATACATGACAATAAGTGACTATGAACAATTTTTCATATGTCTACTGGCCATCACTGTGTCTTTTTCATAGAAGTGTCTATTCATCTCCTCTCCCCATTTTTTGTTTCTTGATAGGCTTATTGGTTTCTGTTGTTATTTCTTTATTTACTTTTTTTTCTTTATTTACTTTTGGTAGCAGGGATTGATGTGGGAACATCATACATGAAAAGCAGGGAGTCCTTCAGGACTGACTCCCTTCCCTCTTTACTGTGATTTCATTGAGGTGATTTGCAGGAGAGAGAGATTCCCCAGTTGTTCCCAGGGCCCTATGGGCCACTCCCAGCATCCTCAGCTAGCTAGGCTGGTGCTCAGAGCTAGAGCCTGCAAATGCATAGCTTCTTGGGCCTGTGGTGTGAGATTCCCAAGGCCACACCTGGTCGAGCTCTTGGGTCTCAGGACTATGCTGCTGGTGCTCAGAGGGTCATGTGATGCTGGGGATGGAGCTCAGATCGGGTGATGCATGATTGCTAAGGCATGTACCTTAGCAATACTAGCTCTTTGGCTCTCTGTGATTTTTTTGTTTGTTTCATTTTGATTCTCGGTCACATTTGGCTCTGTGCTCAGGGTTGAGTCCTGGCAGTACTCAGGGGATTCTGTGTGGTGCCAGGAATCGAAGCTCGGTTGGCCGCATGCAGGGCAAGCACTTTCTGGCCCTCCTATCTCTGTGATGTTTTTTAAGTAAAAAAATCATAACAGAGCTGGAGCAATAGCACAGTGGGTAGGGCGTTTGCCTTGCACTCAGCCAACATGGCTGACACAGGTTCGATTCCCAGCACCCCATATGGTCCCCCGAGCACCGCCAGGAGCAATTCCTGAGTGCATGAGCCAGGAGTAACCCCTGAGCATCGCCGGGTGTGACCCAAAAAGCAAAAAAAAAAAAAAAAAGCATAACATTCTACAGATATTAAAATATGACTGAAATATGAAATACCGAGAATGATAGTGCTAAGACCCCTTTGTGGGAGTGGGGGTGATTCAGTGAGTGAGCCACAGGAAGTGGACTGAGTGATGAGTTCTGCAGGATGGAAACGGGAGGGGGAGGGCGGTGAGCAGGACTATTACGTGGCCAGTGTTGGGGCACTGCCTGTGTCCACCATGGGGCAGTGGGTGCCTTCCTTGGCAGGCTGGGGGTGCTGGCCTAGGGGGGGCTGAATTCTGGGGGGTGACACGGCCGAGCACACTGAGTGATGTTGATCAGCAGGGTAGGGATGGGGTGCCCTTATTATACCTACATTGGACCCCTTCCAGCCCCCTGTCAGGCTTATGGGAGGGGGCAGGGAAGTGCCTTCCCTGTAACTACTGATCTGTCCGGTCAGCCCAGGATTCTCTGACCCCAAGGGTAAAGAGAGAACAAAAGGCATTGTTCCACTCCTTCCCAAAGAGATAGTCTGAACACTGCCTGTTGGGAGGAGGTAGGGCAGGATTAAAAAAAAAAAAAAAACAGGCCCAGCCCTGCCTGACACCACCTTCAGCAAAGGTGACCCTTTCTCTCTAAAAGCCTCAGGGTCCTTATCTGCAAATCAAGGAGGCAGATGAATAAATGCGATGACCAAGTCCCTTTTCAACACAAAATACTCTGTGCCTCAATTCTATGGGTCCATCAGACTTTTGGGGGGACAGTACAGTGGGTAGGGCCTTGTACCTGGTTGGCCGGGGTTTGACCCCCAGCACCCCATAGGAACCCCTGAGCCCCACCAGGAGTGAGCCCTGAGTGCAGAGGCAGGAGTTGCCCTGAGTACTGCCCAATGTCACTCACACCCGTGCCAAAAAAAGGAAAAACAGCCAAAAACCAGATCTCAGATCTCAGAGAACTCCACAGACCTGCATGGAGAAAGCTGGGTTTGAGCCCGGGAAACTCACGGTCCCCAGAGCAGTGCTGGAATTGACCTCCAAGCACAGGGCAGGGGGTAGTCCCTGCACACTGCCAGGTGTGGCTCCTCCCCCACCCTCACCCCACTGACCCTCTCCAGGTCCAAGGTTGGAGGACTTGTTACCCAGGAAGGGTGTGAACCCAGACACTCTGAAGAGACATCAGGGTGTCCAAGAAGCAGAAGCTCCAAAGCCCAGGTCTGCATCTCAGCCCCCCTCTCGAAGCCGCTGAGTTGGGGGTGTCCTGCAGTATCCTGGATCAGGGCTGCTACGTGTCAGCCTCCCCTCTGCTCCCTGTCTGAAGGTCACAGACACAGTGTCCCAGCCCTCAGGGCTCCAGAGTTCAAAGGAAACACAGGGGAACGTTCTTTGCAAGCAGCACGGTGAGCCACGGGGACGCCCTGGCAAAGGTCCTGCGGGTGTCCCCGGCTGCACAGCGCCCTACATGCGGGGTTGAACCCCACACTTCTTCCTGGAGCCCCGGTCAAACCCAGAGCCTGCCCAGGGTCGGGGGCCAGGTCTGTGCTGCCCAGACTGGGCAAGGGTGGTGGTGGTGGTGGGCGGGGGGGTCCAGTTGTGCAGGTATGTTTCCCTCTCTCCCTTATCAATGTGTTTTATAACCGAGTCTGGCGTGTGGCAGGATTTTGGAATTGCGCTTGGGTGCAGTTCAGGCAGGGCTTGCCTGGGGTCAGAGTGCTTACCCAGGTGACCACCAGGACTTGCCCTGTTGGCCACAGGAAGGCCCTTGCCTTGTGCCAGGCCCTCCTCAGCAGGGATCACAGAGAGACATGCTCTATGGCGTGGTAGGGAATGGGGTGCTGGAACAAGGGGATCTTGGGACCGCAGACGCTGGGAGTGACCATCTTATTTTGTCCCCTGGCTGATGGGATTCTAGGCCACGGGGAAAGACTGAGAGGCTTAAGGATGACTCAGGGCCAGTGGGTGAAGTACAAGGAGGGGAATTTCAAGCCGCTGGAGCTGTAGTACAGTGGATATGGCTCTTGCCTTGCACGTGGCCGACCTGTGTTTGAATCCTGGCATCCCGGAGCACCGCCAGGAATAATTTTTTATTGATTTATTTTTCTTTCTTTTTTGCTTTTTGGGTCACACCCAGCGGTACACAGGGGTTACTCCTGGCTCTGCACTCAGGAATTACCCCTGGCGGTGCTCAGGGGACCTTATGGGATGCTGGGAATTGAACCCGGGTCAGCAGGTGCAAGGCAAACGCCCTACCCGCTGTGCTTTTGCTCCAGCCCCAGGAATAATTCTTGACCATCGTTGGCTGTGACCCAATAACAAATCCAGAGGGAAACACATGAGTGATGATCGAGATCCAGCCATGTTCCACAGAGGGGACCAGGAGAGAGGGGCCAGATCTCCTCACAGAACCACAAGGCTGGCTGCACGCCACCGCAGCCCTAAGCCAGGAGCAGAGACTGGTGAGGTTTGGCGAGGTGCCCCACAGAGCCAGCCGCAGGCGGCAGAGCTGGGCTCCAGGACCAAGACCCCTCCACTGTGGATGAGGCAGGGACCTCCAGGCAGAGTGGGGTATAGACACCTGTGTCTCAATGCCTCCTTTCCACTCTTCTGCCTGAGTGGAACGTGGCCCATGCCTTTGGTCTCAGGTTGCTGATTATTTTTGGCATGTAGAGGCAAACACTGCAGACTGCCTTATATTGTCCCCACCCCATTTTATTTTATTTCCAGTCATTCATTAACTTTTTCTGGTTTTGTGCCACACCTGGTGTGGCACCTGTTCAAGAGGACTTTATGGGGATCAAACCCAGATGGATTTGTGCGCAAGGCAAATGCCTTCCCTGCCCCCATCCTATCTCTCTGGCCCCCCTAGTCCTGATTGAATAGCTGGAGAGAGGGTGAGTGGCCCCAAGAGTTACCCTCCCTCCTCCTGCCTTTTTGCCCCCTCACTGCCTCTTTCGTGGGCTGGGTCAGGCTGATTCTGCCTGGCACAGTGGGTGGCTGCTTCCACAGAGTTCCTGCTGTACCCCCTTCCAGCTGACCCCGGAGCCCTGGTCCTGTCAGTGTCAGTCTGAGCAAGGTGAAGAAGCACATTCTGACTTTGCAGTGGGGATGCAGAAGCTTCTGGTCTAGCCCTTCTTGTCGCATTTCTTTCCTTCCTGGGACTTGGTTCCCCCGCTTCCCTCCCGTCCCCCCAATCCCTTCAGGCTCAGCTCTGGGGACTGGGACCTTGGCAGGTCTTTTCAGGTCTGCCCTGTGGTTCCTGCAAATTGAAATCAGAGTGGGGGGAGGAGGGGACAGGTAGGCGCCATCTACTGGTCCTCTGATTCCGATAAGCAGCGATACCAAACCCCAGCTGGAAACCAGCTTCTGACTTTTGGGGGGAGGGGGGACGGCGGATTGGGAGCCACACCTGGTGCTCAGGGCTTACTCCTGGCTCCGGGCGCAGGGATCACTCCTGACAGGGATCAGACACCCTAATGTGATGCCGGAGGTCGAACCCGTGTCTGCACGTGCTAGGCAAGCGCTCTACCCGCTGTACTGTCTTTCCAGACACCGCGATTTGGTTGGGGCCCCCACCACGCTGTCCGCAGTCGGGGGCCGCCCCTGGAGGTGGCCGGGGTCGAACTAGCCCTTTGCGCCTTCTCCCCGGCCTAACCCCGGAGGTGTTGGGGGGCTCCCAGATGGGAAGCCGGCACCAGGTGCTCCGCTTCCCCTCACCCCTCTCGAAACCCGGCTCCCCGACCCGGGGAGGGGGGCGCCCCCTGCGGGCAGGTGCGGGCAGGTGCGCCGGTCCGGGCGCCGCCCTCGCTCCGCTGCCCCGCGCCGGGCGGTTGCGCCATCCGCTCCCGGTGCTTTAACAGGGCGGGCCGGGGCGCCGCGGCGCGAGTTCCTCAAATGTTTTCCTGCGTTGCCAGGACTGAGAGCTGCTCTGAGTCATGGGCGAGCGGGGAGCGCGGCGCGGGGCCGGGCGCGGCGCGGGGCTCCGGGGGCCGCGGAGCGCGCGCAGCCCCGGGGGCTCGAGGCCGGCCGAGCCGCCGCCGCCGAGCGGCCGAGCCGCCGCGGGGACCCGCAGTCTCGGAGCCTGTCCCGGAGCCTGTCCCGGAGAGAGCCCGCGAGGAAGCATGTGGGCCGCGCGCTGCGCTCTGCTCGCCGCCCTGGTGGCCGCCTGCGGGGCCACCGCCGCCGTCAGCGACTGCCGGGCGCTGGGTAAGGGCTGAGCGCCGCGCGGGGGGCGCGGGGGGCGCGGGGTGGCGGAGAGCCGGAGATCCGAGGCGGCGCGTGAGACGCGGGGACGCTGGGAGCGCGGGGCGCAGGGCGCGGGGCACGCGGAGGGCCAGGGGTCCGCGGTGGCGTGGGGAACGCGGGGCGCGCGGGGTACCGGGGGTCCGAGGCGGCGCGTGGGGCGCGGGAGCCGCGAAGGTCCGCGGCGGCTGCTGGGGACGTAGGGCCGGGGGTCCGCGGCAGCGCGGGGTCCCGGGACTTGGGGACTCCCTGGCAGCGGATAGCTGGTGCCTGAGTGAAGGGCCGCGTCCTGCGCGTCCTTTCCCGGGGGAATGCGGGGGCCTGACCCCATCCCTCTGCCAGCTAATCTTGCCGGGCGCTCGGAAACCTGTTCCCGCGACCCGCGCCTGCCCAGCCCCGCACACTTGTGTGCGTCCCAGGGGCGCGGGCTCCGCCGGGTGGCCCTTGGCACCAGGAGCGCGGCTGTTGCCCCAGCGTTCCAGAGGCATCTCCCTAGTTGTCTCGTGCGGGTGACAGTGCCTCACTGAGGGGCGCTGAGTCACGGGACCCCCTCGCCCCCTTCTCCGCGTTCTCGGTTCTTTGCGGACCCCAGCAGTTGCCCCGGGCGGTGACGCGCCCCAGACCGAGAGCCGGACCCGAGGGGAGGTTGATGAGGGGTGGGGGTGTCCGGCTCCCTGTTCCAGGGGAGAGAAGCAGAGGGGCAGGAGAGGGTGGCGGGCACTTGCTGTCCCGCTTGGTGGACCGCCTGGCTGTAGCCCGGCCTCTGCTGCTTCTCCAGGGGGTTATTTTAGGGTCGAGAACCCAGCGGGAAAACCGAGCGCCAGCTGGCAGTCTTCTGGGAACAGCTGGCTGGGGAGATGGTGCCCTGGCTCCTGCCCGCGAGGAATGATAAGGAGGTAGCACCAGAGGCCGGGTGCTGCGGCTTGCTGTTCCTGAGCTGAAGAGACTAAAGGAATCCGGCTCTCTACACATTTAATTCTTTGTGACGGTGCAAGAGTCAAACCTGGGACCTCTCACTTGTAAAGCTTTTATTCTAGCATGGCCCTATGGATGGGGGGCAGTGGGAGGGGGCGCCTTGGTGGTGTCCAGATCTAATCCCCGCTGCTGCTTTGCCAGGCTCATGCTCCAGCCCTCTGAGCTCCATCCACATATGGTTACCACTGGCAGGCACTGTTGGTTGGGGCTCCCTGTACCTTAGCCCTGTTTCTACTGGAGCTAGAGGTCCTTGGTGTAAAAGGGATGAGTGAGGGCTGGAGAGATAGTGCCGTGGCTAGGGCTCTTGCCCTGCAAATGGCTGACGCAGGTGGGTTCTATTCCCAGCACTCTGTATGGTCTCCCAGCCTCACCAAGAGTACTTCTTGAGCTCAGAGCCAGGAGTAAGCCCTGAACACTGCTAGATGTGCCTCCCCTCAAAAAATTATTTTATTGCTTTTTTTGCACCCAGCAACGCTCAGGGGTTACTCCTGGCTTTGCACTCAGGAATTACTCCTGGAGGTGGCTTGCGGGACCATATGGGATGCTGGGGAGCGAACCTAGGTCAGCCGCGTGCAAGGCAATCACCCTACCCACTGTACGGCCCAAAAAATAATTTTAAAAAGAGAGACAAAAGGTGTGTGTGGGAGGGTGTCCGAGAATCAGAGAGGTAGGGGCAGCGTTGGTTAGACCCACTCGTGGTTCTGCTCTGTGGCACTCCAGCTAACGTCAGACTAGCCCTGAAGGCAGAGGAGGGCGTGGGGGCAAGCTGAGGGTCAGGCCCTGTGGCTGGGAGTGGGGTAGGGGATGGGAGGCAGGGTGGCAGGACCGGCTGGGGAGGGAGGGCGGGAGGGCTGGGGTGCCTGTCCTGTGTCTACCTCCACTCTCCTGTCACCTGGGCCCTGCCCCAGGGAGGTTGCCAGGCTGCTCTTCCCTCCCAGGGCTGCTGTTGCTGTCAGCTGCGTGTCCCTGGGGCTCCGGAGGCGGGGCATGGGCACGGGGGCCTCGTGGCTGGAAAGGCAGAACTGGTAGTTTAGGGGAGGAAGTGAAAATCCTCCCCCCAAGGAAAAGGCAGAGATGTTGACTCTCCCCTCCCCCCTCCCCACCCGAATAAAGACAGGACAGGAAGTGACTCTGGGGACCCATGTGGGGAGCCGGGGCCCTGCAGGAGACAGCGCTGGTCTCGGGGAATGCTGCTCTTTCCTTGGCCTCAGAGGCCGGGAGCTGAGGCATGGCCCAGGGGTGCTCATGCGAGGGGTTGGAGGTGCTGGGTTCGGGACCTGGGACTCCCGCTGCTCTGTGTCAGCTCCTGTCCCCACTTCTGAACTTGGCCGCATCCCCAGGTCAGGATTTCTCCAGCATCTCAGGCCCCTTTCGTTGGAATTGGCATGTGGGGGTGGGATGCAGGACGGGGCTCCTGGGATGGCCCCGCAGTGTGTGGGAGTGGGGCTGGGGACACGTCCTCTTCAGGGAGTGTCCCTGCTAGCGTGGGCAGACGTGGGGATGGACGGCCTCAGAACCACTGAACCGAGGCCTCCCTGCTCCCAGCTGCTAGAAATCGGTGTACTGGCCCAGTCCCTTGTTTATTCATTGCAGCAAACAGGAATTGAGTTGTGGAGAGCCCTGAGGTATATGTGTGTGTGTTTGGGGTGCCTGTGTGGGGTCTGTCACCCAGACTCTACCCTCAAAGGAGCAGCTGGCAAGATAGTCCAGGACTTAGTGCCAGGCCTGGTGTACCCCAGCTCCAGCCCAGAATCGCAAGGAGGGACCCTCGGTGCCCCAGCCCCTATATCTCCCGGGAGGGGGAAGGAGTGAGGGATGAGGGCAGATCTGCTGGGGGAAGGTGCACTGAGAACGGGCACCCCTCACTTCTTGCCTTCCTGTCCCATATGCCAGCAGGCCACAACCTGTGAGGGGAGGGCACCTGTCATGTGTCCAGGTCAGCCTTGAAGGTCTCAGCTGTGTCCTCCCGCTCTTGGGCACCCCTTAAATGGGAATTGATGAGAATGAAATAAAAATACTCATTCAAGTGCTCATCTACCCAGGGCAAGGGCTGCCCAGGGTATTCCATGCAGAGGGTGCTGCGTACATGCAGTGCACGGAGGGCTGGTTGGCTTATTCTGGAAGATTCCCTCCCTCCTTTCCTCGCTCCCTCCCTCTCTCATTCTTATTTTTGAGGTTTTGAGCCAAACCCAACAGTGCTCAGGGCTTTCTCCTGGCTCTGCTCTTGGCAGGCCCAGGACTTCCTTTGGGGTCTAAGAGGTCAGTCCCTTGGCCCCTGGAGGAGGAGTGTGACCCTCTGCAGATGGACAGGGGCTCAGGACCAGCAGGTTTGGAGGCCTGGGAGGTGCGTGCTGGGCATGAGGAACAGCAGACACGAAGGCAGAGAAATTGGCTGCGGGAGTCTGGCGTTTGGGAATGGGGACTGAACTAGGGACCAGAGCAGATGACATTATCTCAGAGGAGTCCCTGGGGTCACCCAGGGTAAGAGGGTAGAGCACAGCTCCGCAGAGCTGTAGTCATGGCTGCCCCTTGGGCCCCCTCATCCCCCTGCTCCTTGGGCTGGGGAAGAGGCACGGTGGGGGGCTGGAGAAACTGCTGGGGGTGTGGAAAGCCAACAGACAGTGTCTCAGGGGGGTGCAAGCATAGCGTGGAGCCTGCCGAGGGGCAGAGGAGTCCCGCAGGGCTGGATGGGGCAGGGCTGTGCTGGCCTTGGCACATTGCCACCGTCCAGGGAAGCTGAGGGAGGACATGAGTCTGTGGGGAAGCCCAGAGGAAGGCCCGGTGCAGAGACTGGTGTCACCTGTTCATGCTGGTGGCAACAGTCTGCTAGAGACCAGGGGTGGGAAGTGCCAAAACAACGGCCTTGACTAGGAGGGAAGAAATGGGGCTCAGAAAGGCGAGGAGGGCCTGGGGGGATGCACGGTGAGGAGGGCACTGGCCTTGCATGTGGGGTTTCATCTCCGAGGTTCCTCTAGGCACCCCTAGGAGTAATTCCTGAGCACAGAGCCAGGAATACCCCCCAGAGCCAGGAGTAACCCTGCTGGGGGTGGCCCCAAAACAAACAAACAAGTTCAGGCAGTACTTCAGGGTCATGCAGGGAGAAAGTGAGTGAGGGCATAGCCCACTGTCCCCAAGGCAGCCTCCCTGGATCAGGACTTGCCCCTTGGAGCGAGCCCTGTCTCCGCAGGCGGGTGGAGGCGGGGGTCCTGCCTTCTCTTGGAGAAGCCCTGGAGGCATAAGTGTCCGCTGCCTGCATCCTGCTCACATCCCTTTGGTTCAGGGGGACGTGTGGAGACTTGGCTGCTGCCCACCTCAAGCCCCTTGGGGAAGGCAGAGGAACAAGAGCATTTCCCGGAATCTTCCAGAATGCTGGAAGTCTTCTCTAGCCTCCGGGTGCTGGAGATGGGTGTGATTGCTGAGAGGCTATTTTGATGGGGAAAGGGGAGGATTTCCCCACTGGAAAGGAGATTTGGTAAAATCTCTGGAGCCTCCTTACAGGTTTTCAGAGATTAGCTCTGTCTGGAGAGTAGTTGTGAGGGTTTCAGTTAGAGGGGGGAGGGGCACACCCAGTATGGACCATGTGGTGGGTCCCGGGCCTCTGGCCTGCAAAACATGGCTCCAGCCCTTGGAGCCGGATCTCCCCGGCCCTCACAGTTGGATTCTTCGGTAATGAACTAGTGATTTAGTGAAAACAAAACCAAAACAAACTTTCTCTTGTTTGGATGTTTCATTACGTGAATTCACACAGCCTCCCTCTGATGGCCATCTGGTTGCTCCTGGCTGGACAGCGCTACAGGGACGAAATTCACCTTTCCCTCCTCTTGCCTGAATCCAAGTGTGTCTATGGGTCAGCAGTCAAATGCATTTGCTCTATTAGGTCATACACGTGCACACTTGACATAGCACCTATATGACTAACACTTGATCTGAGCTTTTTTGGGGTGTGGTCCCCAACTGTGTTCAGGGCTGACTTCTGGCTCTGAGCTCAT